GCCTGGGTGACAGAGCAAGCCTCTGCTTGAAAATAAATAAAGACAAAGCGGAACACAAGAGATGCTCTCTTTAGCTATCTGAAGCCAGAACATCAGTACTGAATGTAGTAGTTTTGTTACAATAATCTAGTAGAGGATCTACAAGTAGTAATGAGAGGAAAGGTTCTATTATAGCAGAAGGTCAATAGCTAAATGTCCAAAACATAAATCAAGAAATGGCAATAGAAACATAACATTTAGCCCTGTGGAAGACTCTGCAGAAGAAAGCGAAGTTCCAATCGGGTTCCCCTGTGTATATGCAGTGTTTGACTCCGGCTCTATCACTTCGGAGTTCTGCAGCCTTGGCAATTACATAGCTTCTTCATGCCTAAATTCATCAACTGTAAAATGGAGATTGTATCGACATTATGCAGATCGTACTTTAAAAAACAGTCACACACGCAAAACATGTAGAACACCTGGCATTTAAAATATGATTAATAAAAAAATTTGAACCAAAACTAGTAAAAATACAGTAAGAAGAATGTAATAACTGGTAGGCAATACTAGCAAAACAACCTAGAAGAAAATGTCATGATAAACCAAGAGGAAAAGAATGGAAGCCATGCGTAGGTAAGCCGATGGCGTGGGGGGTCAACTCACCCTGTGCCCTTGGTCCTGCCACATAACCCAAGACTCCTTCAAGTTCTGCCCACCCCTCATGGAGCTTTCCCTGTCACACCTGGTACACGGGAACAAGCCTAGACCCCTGATTCTGGCCCCTGCCCATCCACCTCTGTTAGCAGATGGCCGACTCGCCACTAAAACTCCTCTCCTCCACAATCAATAGCTTCGGTCAGGGCACCTTCAGACCCTCAGGCACTGCAGTCACGCTCCCTCAGGTAAGCTCTGCTTTGTCGTGAGAACTCATCCCAGAAAGCGCCCTCCTGTCGGCCCCAGATGGGAGGCCGCACCCACCTGCTGCCTCTCTGCTCCTGCCAGTAGGTTCACCTCCAGGCTGCCTAGGAGTTGCAGACCTCTCATTCAGACACCTGCCGCCTGATGGACCTGCCAGTTTAGATGTGCACCCTCGCCGCCCCTTCAGCCTCTCAGAGCAGCTCAGCTGTGGCTAGGTCTTCCCCTCTTCTATGATGCCCTACAAAATGCCACCCACGTTCTGAGTAGGCCCCAAATGAAGGGACAATAACAGGACCTCTCACAACTCCCTCCCAGTCCCCTTGGACCCATCCCCCAGGCCTGGCTCAGCAAAGCCTCTCTCTGATCAGGGACCCTCGCCCACAGCCCACTCTAGAACACTGTTATTTAATGGACTTGTGTTGCTGTCCCTGTTTAGACCCCCAGTCCCTGCAGGGCAGGGCTGCAGAAGTGGCACTGGACCTCTCTCCATATGCCACATAGCATCCAGAGTGCCTTGCAAGTCAGCTCCCCAGACGGATGGTGGAAGGAGACAGTGAGGAAGGCAGGCCACGTGGGGCAGGGCAGGGCATGGCAGGGCATGGCTTTCCCCTGTTTAGAATGCCGTTTCCTCTGGCAACCCAGTCCTTGCATTTGGTGTGTTTGGGACCAGCAGGCAACAAAATCTTTGTCTGTCTTGAACCGGTCTCTCCTGCTACTCCCTTTCCTTGGGTGATGTTTTTTGATGCCAAGCATGGGACATAGTATTTCATCTGGGCTGGATGCCTTGGGAATGGGAGCTGCTACCTCTGCCTTGAAGGTCTGCAATTGCCTGATGGTAAAAAGGACCAGGAAGGCGATCGAATTTCTCCCATCACCAACCTCTCAGGGCCCTCCAGTACTGCTTGGACAGACCCTGACAGGGACTGCACCAGCTCCCGAGATGCCCCACAGCCCTGTGGAACACAGCGGAGGAGCCTGAGACAGATGCTTCCCCAAGGCCACTCCCCAAAAGCAGTCAAAGTGGTCCCTTTCCGCTGTGTACTCCATGGTGGGATAACTCTCGCTAGGACCTTTGACTGGTAAATCTCCTATCAGGCCACATTCTCTCTTCCTATTGTGTTGGCTTACTGGTTCTGACCTTTGGAAACCACAGAACAAATTTCACCTGCTGTATGTTAACCACTTAAATGGCTGAAAATAGCTCTAGAGCTCCTTTTACAGCTCCTTTCCAGACACAGTAAAGTGATCACAAGGGGGTGGTTCTCAGACACCCGCATGTCAGGATAGGAAGGATAAGACACAAACCCCCATTCATGGGGCTTTACATGCCCCGTCAGGCCAGAGTCCTGCCCAGGAGTTTTCAAACTGGAGTTATGGTTGGGACAGGAAGAGGAGGGAGGTGTGGGGTACAGAACTCTCCAACAGGGAGGAGGCTGCAGAAAGGGATGTGTGGGCACTCCCAATGGAGGCAGAAAACAAAGCCGAGGGGAGACCCAGTCCCTGAGGCCCTCAGAGCTGCCCGGCCACTATCTGCCCAAGGACTGCCAAACTCCTCTCAGCTCTGTGAGCCACTCCCAGGACGACTTCTGCAAATCTTTTTTTTGGCTGATGCTAAAGATGGGTTTCTGTCCTTGGCAATAGCAAGGGTCTGACAGCCAGTCCCAGAGCCAGCCCGGAGGATGTTTTATGAGAGGCTGGTCTACCACTTTGGCTAGTTCACACTTAGTCCAACCAACACTTCCTGAGCACCAATCGTGTGCCAGGCATGGCTCCAGATGCTAGAAAATACAAAGATGGAAAAGGCATGCTGTCTGCCATAGCCAGAGGCTTAGAACACATACATAAGAGAACACTCATTCTACTAGAAGTGAGCTTACAAGTCAGTGGTATCTAACATCTAAGACAAAAAAGTTAAAATTGTCCTAGGCCAGGTGCGGTGGCTCACACCTGTAATCCCAGCACTTTGGGAGGCTGAGGCAGGTGGATCATCTGAGGTCAGGAGTTTGACACCAGCCTGACTGATATGGTGAAACCCCATCTCTACTAAAAATACAAAAATTAGCCAGGCGTGCTGGCTCACACCTGTAGTCCCGGCTACTTAGGAGGCTGAGGCAGGAGGATTGTTTGAACCTGGGAGGTGGAGGTCGCAGTGAACCGAGATCGCCCCACTGCACTCTAGCCTGGGTTACAGAGGGAGACCCTGTCTCAAAAAAATGTCCTGGCTAGTGACAACTAGATTGTCAAGAAGACTGGATTTTTAGCTTCTTTAAAAAGACTAGGTTACAAACACTACAACAACCACAAAAAAGCAGGGAGCAGGGAGAGCAAAGACACAAAAGCTAAAACTTATCACAACCTCGGCAGCGGTGGCAATGTGACAGTCAAGGCTACTTCAGAACAAAATGCAGTCATTGCTGATGGTTAGACCAATGCTTGAGCTGGAAACATGGGGGAACCATCTCACGATCAGCAGCCTCCAGTCCTACAGACTGAAGAGGCTGGGAGGTCAACATGATGGAGAGGAAGCCTGCCGCCCAGCTGGGCTGCCCAAGCCCTGGTCTGGGATGGACCCTGGCAGAGCAGGACTTGTGGGTCATGGTCCAGAACGTCTGGCCCACAGTGACTGCCCTTCATTTTTACCGGATACTACAAGTGGCTAAACAAGGGAAGTCCCCGGGCTTCTGTCTCAGTTCCTAAGACCTGAGAATACGTACTCCAAAGGCCCCTGAAAGACCTGAAGGCCGGGGTTCACAGGGCCAGCATCAGTGACAAAGGCAACATTAACCTGTGATGCTGATGGGCACATCTTAAAGTGCAGATAGCAGTTTATGGACCACTGTGAAAATGTCTGGGATGAATAGGCCTTTTCATTGCCTCCTCCTTGAAAGCCCCTTTTGTAGGGAGATGGAGGAAGCAACAAAGGAGAGGTTTATCACCATGAGCCCGTTCAGCAGCTGTTTTCTTGTTCCTTGTTTAACTTCTCTCAAGAGAGCAGAGTTATCGGTGCAGCTGAGCAGGTGTTTCAGGCAGGTGATTTTGTTTCCATTAATTTTATTAAATAGTAGACCAGACTGGAGGGTTATCTCACGCCCTTGGGAACCTCCTCCCTGTGCCTGCCAATAACGAGGTGCGTGCTTGGGAGGAAGGTTACATTCTGCTCCCTGTTGCTTTCAGCATCTTCAAATCTCTAATAGGAAGCAGAATTTAAGAGCTACAGCCCACTCCTACCCTGCGACATCTGGATCTTGTCTGCTTTAGCAATGTGTTAGAGAAACAGTCAAGTTGGAGGCTTTCAAGTTCTCAGGAAAAAGCAGATGAAGAGAAGCCTGACACGTCAAAGCCCAGCCACACCCACCATCACACTAATGACTCTGCTCATACTCTCATGTTCCAGGCGACTGCAAGGAGACTTTCACATAAAACATGGAAAAAAAGTTTGAAAAATCAATTTAGGCTGGGTGCCATGGCTCATGTCTGTAATCCCAACACTTTGGAAGACCAAGGTGGGCAGATCACCGGAGGTCAGGAGTTCGAGACCAGTCTGGCCAACATGGTGAAACCCCGTCTGTACTAAAAACACAAAATTAGCTGGGCTTGGAGGCGCACACCTGTAATCCCAGCTACTTGGGAGGCCGAGGCAGAAGAATCGCTTGAACCTGGGAGGCAGAGGTTGCAGTGAGCCGAGATCACACCACTGCACTCCAGCCTGGGCTACAGAGTGAGACTCTGTCTCAAAAAAATAAATGAATAAATAAATGAATGTGAAGCTCAAGACCCCCTCAGCCTATATGCTGGACTTGCAGGTCTGGGCGAACTTCCTTCTCACAGAGAAGGCAGGCCCGCAGCACGTGGGCGAACTTCCTTCTCACGGAGA